CTGTTTCACAGATGGTTAGATTAGAATAATTGCCAATATAGCAACTCAGCTAATACATTTTATCTGAGGATTGTTAATAATTTTCAGACACAGTAACTCCAATGGGTTGACATGCCATGAGTTTCAGACATTTTGTGATTAGACAAAAACATGCTTTCTCATTAATGTGTGATCCAGAATGACTTCATATTGCATACAAGGAGCCTTTACCAGCACTTGCAGAATGTTCAAAAATCCTACCTAAGTTTTCCCCTTTTGACTCTGCAGCCATGTCTGTATTTTTCCAAAATATAGTTCGTTCCTCCTGTTTGTACTATGGCCTTTCATGTGGTATGTTTGTTGCTATCAAGTGAATTGTTACTACTAACCAAAATATTCTCAAATCCTTAACGAGCTTACAGCATACTGGCATACGAAAGCCTAGCACTTCTATCACAGATGCTTCTTTTCATCATATGAATGCTCTTCCTGGAGTAGAGAAGAGACAAGGACACAAATTACCTATTTATATAAGATCATTGCAAATAGCATATATGAAAGTTTTTAATTTGAATGAAAGAGGTTGTGAATTAATTAAGAATGTTGAAAGTTTTTCGTTAGAAAAACATGCCTAATTTTGTCAGCAGAATGAGAATCTGGACACAATACATAGCATAGCATATCATGCACTCAGCACATTTTTGTGTATGCGTAACTGTTTTGGAAAACATAAAATCATTTTCTTTGTCTTATATGTATCACCACATATGTATCTGTCACAAATGAGTGTTTTAAGGTCACTTAAACAAATCACTGGCAAAGGTATTGGCAAAACCAGGTTGGATATAAAAGTGAAAGTGTGACGAAGTTTGTTGGCAAGGTTGACTCTAATACTTACTAGATGATTAAAGCACACAGAAAAGCAAGCTAAAATCCCAAATCAATCAATCTACAACCAAAAAAAACCCCAGAAGAAAACATGTACATGGAGGTGGGAGATGTGGGGAAAAGGGTAGGGGTAGAAGAGGGTGAGGATGAAAAGGTGTAAGGAAGCATCATAAGAGTAGACCCCCTTGCTAAACTGAGCCCTAGACTTGACCAACAGTTTAGGCCTAAAGGTTTAACAGCAATTAAACTTAACAGCATTTAATCAATAGCTGAAGTTAAACAATTTAGCAAAGGCTTCGTACAGAATTTACTATAGCAGAATAATATCTGACTTACAGGCATAACTAACTTACAAACCTAATGTAGCTGAGAATCTAGGACAGCAAGATTCATAGTACATTTCCTATCACATATT